TCTTGGGTGCCTGGAGCAAGAGCCGCTAATGTTTCATATAAACGACAGCCTGAAAGCTTTTATCTCAATAAGTTAACGTTACAAGACTTAAAAGCAGTGGGCATCTCAAAATATTTTATTACAATTCTTTTGGAATGTATATATTATTTTTTTTGTAAAAATATCTCTCGGTGATCAATATAATATACTATCAGAGTGTTTATGGATGAGATAATCAAAAGCGTATGTAGTTATTTGCGTTTGGTAAGTACATCACGAAAATACTAGTAAATACGATATTTGGAATCTTAAGAAGGTCATATTAGTAAAAGTAAGACAACATATCGATTTCAATTATATAATCAAAATATAGTAACGTGTTTAAACGTGACCGGTTTACCAGTCAGAATATGACATTAGTGACAGTCACCACACAATCAGTTGCTCAAATAACCCACGAATTGTTTCAGAAATTCACTTAGGGTAGCTCTAGACCAGTTGGGTTACTTCCGAGGGGTTCTTAGAGGAGACACGCCACACCTTAAATTTTAAAGTTGTTGGTTTGTAATCAGTGACAATGTTACTCATCAATATCCCAACTCGCTCATTTAGGCTGTTTTAATATTCAACCAATCTCCTATATCATAGCCTTTGCTACCCTTGACGACACTTTTTCAGGTCAAAAACAAACGAAAAAAATATAATGAAGTAACGCCTTTGAGAACCCTCTGAGCGCGTGTAGAATAAAAAATCGAAGGCAAGTTAAAAATCTTCAGTTAGGTTGTTTGAGTGTCTGACTGACAGTCCAGTGAATGCCACAGTGATATTTGAACCGTCTGAAAATAGATATACCATATGCAGTTCACATACAGCGCACAGTTAACTCGTTTGACTTAAAATCACAACTGTCTGCTCAGATTCAAATCCAGACTTTGGGCGCAATTTGGAATGGTCATGACTGTTCAGAGGCAACTGCTTGTTCACCCATTTATTTTGAATCAAAAAATATATTTTCATCTAAAACAATGTAGATTCGTCTGCGTTTGATAGTTAAGGATGGTAGATTTGCCTTATCACAGAAGAGCAAATAGAAAAGAATTGAGATTCACATCGCTGAGATTCATTGCCAGTGTAATGATCCCGATCAGCTTCTAAACACATTATTGCTAATATTTCGGTATATTTATGTGTCAGTAAAAACGCTAACGTATTTGCGCGTAGTGTACTTATATCCAGAGTATATAGATTTAGCTGGAATCCATCTTTGAATAGAACCATTGAATTAATCAATTAACTATGCACACAGTTCATTTTAATTCCAGGAAATGTAAAAACTTCCTCTTTTCAGTAGGTGATTGAAACAGTTTCCGATTTCAAACCTGAAGAACAGTAACAAATAGTCCAGTTAAAAGTGAAGTTCTCACCATACTATACTTACGTTCACACCTGGACATACAAATTTCATGGAAAAAAAAAGACAAAAACAATAGAAACCAAAGAAACAAACAACGAAACGAGGCTTGATGTGCTCAATCTCTGGTGGGAAACTCTAAGGAAATAATTCAAGGACCAGAGGAAAATGAATGCCATTCAAATTATTCTTTACTGAAACTGGCACAAGTTTTAGCTTGTGACCTGCACTTCACTAAAATGACAACACCCTTCAGTTTGCTCTGTTTTTCTGTGCCTTTTCCATAAAAACAACAAAGAAGTAGAGAATAGCGAGAAAGGCTGCAAAGGAGAACAAAAACAATAGAAGTGGTGGCCTCAATGTAAAGCAACGCTAAGGTGTTGGCGTCAATTTAAAGGACACGACAACAGAAAGACCTAGCGAGACTGCTGTAAGTCTTGAGCCATACTCTAACAAGACCACTGCAAGGTGGCAGATAGGTAGATATCATGACCAGAAAACAAGACTGGAGCCAGGTTGATGCAAGACTGCAAGGAAACTGCAGGACTGCTGCAAGACAGAACATAACTGATACCAAAGCATGTCTGTAACCACATTGCAGTGGAACAGAAGAAATTTTGAGAGATAGAATCGAAACTAAAGACTGTAGCAAAAATGCAACCAGACTGTGTCAAGAAGGGCTGCTGTAAGACATACACAAGACTGCAGCAAGTCTGAACCCAGAAGTCAACAAGAAAGTAAGACAGCAGCAAAATGAGAATGAGAAGGCAACCAGTCTGAAGCTAGAGTGCAAAAAGACAAGAGTAAGACTACAGCAAGTCTGCAACCAGACTGCAAGACAGTAGCAAGAGAGAAATCAGACTTCAACAAGGCTATCACCACACTGTAGCCAAGCTGCACCACAACAGAGGTAGGACTTCTGACACCCCAAAGGAAAATTAGGGAAAGATTGGTTAAAAAAAAGTACCATTAGCTGTTTGTCACCCTCACCTTTTTTTAAGACATGCAAAAGGATAACAGGATGTCATGACTATGAAACAAGGTTACTTGTCAGAGAAGGAATACACATCAAGAAAACAGCTGAAAATTTGTCATTAATAATAATTAAGGAACGTAGATTCCACCAAAGACATGCAGACAAGCCTTTTATGGGAGTGACAGGCTCAATAATTACAGCAGTTCCTTTATAAACCACAATGACACAGAGGGAAGAGGAGG